ATGGTAGAAAATCCACGTCTGGGTACTTGTTTACTTTTGCAGGGGGAGCCGTGTCTTGGCAATCCAAGTTGCAAAAATATGTTGCTTTGTCCACAACCGAGGCTGAATACATAGCCGCTACAGAAGCATGCAATGAGCTGTGTGGCTGAAGCGGTTTCTCCAAGAGTTGGGTTTGAAGCAAAGTGATTATGGCGTTTATTGTGATAGTCAGAGTGCTCTAGATTTGAGCAAGAACACTACATATCATTCACGCACTAAGCACATTGATATTCGTTATCACTGGATTAGAAATGCTATCGAGAACAAGTTGATACAGCTAAAGAAGATTCATACCGATAATAATTCTTTAGACATGTTGACAAAGGTAGTCACAAAATCAAAGTTGGAATTCTGCATTAAGGCTGCTGGGATGGACTCCAGGTAACTTGGAGTCATGATCGGAATTCCTCCCTCATGGACTGGAAGGGGAGATTGTTAGTATATGGTCCAGCCCATGATCAATGTTCTAGATTATTCTAGTAAGCAAGTAAGGTGGCTGGAGCATGCTAGACAATTCTAGCATGTTATTAAGTTGATGGAAGAAGCTAGAGAGTACTAGCTTCCTTGGTTGTAAATGGAAAGATCTAGAATCTACAATGTTGTGGCTAGTCTAGAATTTTCAATGCTAGAGGTTTGAAGAATACACTAGAAACTAGTAGAATGTCAAACCCTCACCTATAAATATGGGTGTGATGTCGTAGTGAAGTAACCAATTAAGAACCAAGTGTGAGTAGCAAAGGATCAAGTCGAAAGCTAGAGTTCCACTCCAAGAGAGAGAGTGAGAGTGTTCCACTACACATTGTGAGTGAAGTATAGAGTGATAGAAAGTGTGTGTCATACTTTCTTGTATCCATCAAGCCTTGTCTTTGGCTTGGTAAGACTACTCTTGTTGTACTCATCTTTTTTCATATAGTGAAGATTGATTCTTGTTTCATGGACGTAGGCATAAATTGGCGAACCACATAAATTCTTGGTGTCCATTTTCTACTTTACTTTGTGCATTCTCTATCTTGTAGTACCGACATTCCTAACAGTTAGGACTCTCACAAAGATCATATATAGAGAAGGTATTGCATCGGTTCAATATGCAAAGCTGTTCAAATGGAGAAGTGCCAATGGGGAAGGGAGATAGATTGAATAAGTCCTAGTGCCTGAGAAATGACTTAGAAAAACAAAGCATGATTAACAAACCTTATGCATCATTAGTTGGGAGTTTAATGTATGCATAGGTTTGTATGAGACCGGATTTGGCTTTTGCAATAAGTGTGCTAGGAAGGTATCAATCTAATCCAAGTGAACAACACTGGGCTGCAGCAAAGAAAGTATTAAGATACTTGCAGTCATTCATGCTTGTATATAAGAAGGTGGAGAACTTGGAACTGGTTGGCTACATTGATGCAGATTTTGCGGGTTGTATAGATGATAGAAGATCAACCAATGGATATTTGTATTTCCTAGTTGGAGATGCAGTATTGTGGAGAAGTGCGAAACAAAGGGCCTTGGCTACATCAACTATGGAAGCCGAATTTATAGCTTGTTTTGAAGCCACAAAGAGGGGATTGTGGCTGAAGAATTTAATCAAGTTCATGGGAATTGTGGATTCAATTCAAGGTCACTGGTGTTATATTGTGACAATAAGGCAACTATTTTCTTCTCTAAAAATAATAAGAAGTTAGAAGCTACAAGACTGATGGACATCAAATATTTGTCAGTGAAGGAACATGTGAGAAAGGGTGAGGTTGTGATCGAGCATATTGAGACAAATTATGTGATAGCTGATCCATTAACAAAACCCTTAGCAGTGGGAGTATTCAAATAACATGTCATGAAGATGGGTGTGCACGAATCTCTGGAATCTGCTGAAATGTGGGAGTCAGAAACCCTTATATGAATTGCATGTATGAATGTATATTTATATGTATTGGCATGATTATCAGCATGCCATTACAATTATGAAGTGATGGTTTAAGACTGAGATGCAATAATAAATATATATGTGCTGAATCTTCATGACTATTCTGAGTTATATAACTTATATAACACAAGTGGTATATGATTTTCAATTCAGTAAAGGGAACTGTGATCATCCAAAGATGATCCATAAAGTTGATTGAATTGATTCATAGAAAAATGAACGTTAAGTTCATTGAACAGATTAGATTCAAATGACAGTGATTTTAGAGTGCATGTGCCGATGAGCTGCACATGATTTTCTAGAATTCGACATTTGAGCTAATACTGGTAGATGTGGGGAAGCAAGTAATGTGTAATTGGTTGTGATCACTAAGGAGTCAATATTGTAATTGTGATAACATTTCAATGAAATGATTAGTTTACTTCCAAGTGGGAGAATGTTAGAAACTTAATTGAACTAAACTATCATTTAGTGAAGGAAGAAATGTATTTGATAACAATACAATTTGACCTAAGTTGCAAACGTGGAAAAATTGCTTCCTATTATTAAGGAAATATGGATAACAATTGTGGAGATAACTTACATCCCAATATTTGATGAAACTGTTGTTAACTGACAAAAACCAACCCGCCATGATAGAGGGAAGTTGGTGAATGTTAATCTATATAAGGACTCCTGCTCGTAAAGAAAAGTTATGCGTTATTGGGTTCTATCACCTTAAGAACATTAAGTCTTTTATTGAATAGAAGTTAACACTTGTTAGTAATCTAGGAAACTTGTTAATATTATATACTACTAGTTTTCCAACAGTCAAAGCCGGCACAAGGGCGTGTTATGAAAGCCTTTAAAGACCTGATCGCCAAGCGGAGAAGCGGAAAGGAGTACTCAGATGACTTCCTGCAGTCGATGATAGAAAGAGATTCATGCCCTAACAATGAAAAGCAGCATAGACAGTTTATGACGTTTACAAGCGATAGTAAATCCGACGTCATGTTTAGTAAGTGTCGCAAATGTCTTGTCCGCCACTATATTATATTAAACCGACATCACCCACCGACACTATAACGCCTTTTTTGTAGTAGTGTATTGACATTGATAATTGGAGGCCAGACCACCTCTTCAGCTGCAATGATGTGGAGCCTTAAGTTTTTTGGCGAGACCAGAGAAGTCTTGGACAGACTCAGAGTAAGGAATTCCAAAGTGTATCTTCATATCATATAAATCTCGGTAGCAATTTCAGCATCGTTGAGATGGATAAGAAAGAATTTATGAACATACAGGAGGAACAGTTGGCAATAGCCAGAGCTAGGCCAGAAGGAGCATCAGCTACATATGAGGATATTAAAAACATGCCCTACTGTCTCAAGGTTAGCACCACACCCTAGCAAATTTCGATTGTTAAATTCGACGTAGAAAAGTGATCTTTAATAATGCAACTTTTCACCAGAATTAAACTGATAGCGGGGACATCTTGCATACAAACGCATTGACATCTTTAGTGGTCCATATGTTTTTTTCTACAGGTTATGAAAGAGACATTGAGGTTGGGAAATGTTGTTACGTGGGCTCCTCGCGAAGCTACCCATGACTGCACTATAGAAGCTAACTTAACCTAGAGAAGTTATATATAACCGGCACATACAAATATTTCTTCTGTTTACAGATGTTCAGAGCCATGAGTTACCAGTTACCACAGCTAGCACTACAGCGGAAATGCTTTCCGTCACCTTTTCAATATTTCTCTTAACAAAAACTTGTTTAATCTCAATTCATCACAATGCAATTGCAGGTTTTGAAATAAGGAAAGGGTGGCGGGTGAATATTGACATGACTTGCATACACATGAATCCAAAACACCTTCCGGACCCGATGCAGTTCAACCCATCTAGATTTGAAGTACCCGACTCTCTACCCAAACACTTCGTTTTTCTTTTAACTTCTTTTATACACAGAACTATTCTGAACCACTTAAATCTGTGGAGAGGAGGATCTAAACATGGTTGAAACTGGGCATGCTCACTGCCTCAGCAAACTGGCCTAACCCTTAACCGCAATTTCAAACACTTTATTTTTCATTGTTGCCAAGGTATTGACATTGAATGATGTATTACATACATATCGACTGTGTCAATTTTCTCCAGGAAATGCAAAAGCCGTATAGCTATATACCATTTGGGTCAGGACCCAGGTCATGCCTAGGAACCAATATGGCCAAGGCGACAATTATGATGTTTTTACACCGTGTAGTAAGTGGATACAGGTGAGTGAGAATTTGCAGTGCCATCATTTGATTTTTTTCTTATCTTGTATGAGCAACATTACTGCTAGTGCCCATACGTGTCTGTGCAATTTATGGCCGTTTGTTTTGGGACTCGCTTTTGAGCAACGGTAAAAGCTTGCCTACGCTCTGTGGAGTGTGGGCATCGTATTGATGAATCTTAAACTATTTCCCCTTATTGTGTAGCTGGACAATACATGATTGGGATCCTAGAATGGAAAAGATATCATTCGTTCCAAGGTTAGCCAGTGGGTTGCCCATTACCTTGAAGGCCTTGTAAGAGAGTAGAACCTGGTATGCCTTAAAGTTAGGGCTCAATAATCCGGCAACTTGCCATTTGTGTGGACAGTCACTACCCCGTGGCTAGCGCCGGCTGCGAAGGCTGCTCCTTGTGCAAGAACATATTATGCTCGGGTCTTAGGGCTAGGGTTTCTGTTTTACTGGGGCTACATGTTTTGGGTCTTATTTGTGTTTTGTAGCACCTACTGTTGCTACTTTGTGGATTTAGTCTCATACTATTGCTTTGCTGCTTGTTCCGCTAGTTTGTTGTGTTAATGAAGCATTTCTTTTGTTGTGTTAATGAAGCATGTTGATGCACAAAATCAGTAGACTTTCGAACAACATAAATCTGATCGTAAATCACACTCACACACAAGAACACAACGATATATCGTGGTTTATTATATCCACATTAGTGTAGATCCAGTTTCCACTATGTTAAATGAGGGATAAATGAAAAAAAAAAATTATCATCGGGAAGCTTGTCACTCATTTTGCAGAATCTGAAGTACGAATTCTTGCCAAAATAATGTTACTATTGATCAGATGATATAATATTACAAGTGGTACTAAGAAACCGCTATAAAGCAACAGCGACCTCAACTTTTATATCAACGCTAGTTTCCTTTTTATATAATGTAACCAGGCAAATATAATAGGGATACAAGCACAACACGAAGCATCTGTACTTACCAAAAACAAGCAGATCAAACTTCAGTTGATGGAAATCGATTTGTACTGTTGGACCGTGGAGGTGATAGCCTGTTCAACAGGTAGCCTCTCCACGCTTGACGCCCCATAAAACCCATGAACTCCCTTGGTGTTCTTTAGTATAAATTCTGCCTCTCTTGGACCCGAGATTGGACCTGCAAATTGCACCAAACGATCTTCATGTTCATTAATATGATAAAAAGAAAACTTGGTAACAAGAAATGAAAAGCTCACGAGCACATACCACCATGGCAAAGCACAATGGCGTTGGGATTGATCCTACTTGCAGCATCTGCAATATTTTGTACACGAACTACACTTTCATCCAGTGAAACAGCCGTCTTTGCCCCTATAGAGCCGGATGTCGTGAGTCCCATATGAGCCACAATGATATCAGCACCAGCCTTTGCCATTTGCACAGCTTCATCTTGATTGAAGGCATATGGGGTTGTCAAGAGCCCCATCTTATGTGCTTTTTCGATCATCTCAACCTCCAATCTAATCATTCCATTAAGAAAAAGTTAATGTGCAGAATGCAATAAATTATAATATTAGTCTTTAAAAAAAAAAATATCCCCACTTAGTGGGAAAAGGCTTTGTTGTTGTTGTAGTCTTTTAAAAAAAATCTCTGTTTAATACCTACCGGTATCCCATTCCAGTTTCTTCAAGATTTTGTCTAAAATTACCATCAAAGAGTCCAACTGTTGGAAAATTTTGAACCCCAGAGAATCCAATTGACTCCACCTGCCTTAAAAAGAAATCCATTTGGCGAAAAGGATCGGTGCCACACACCCCAGCAAGAACAGGTACCTTCTTCACCACCTATCATTATCATCAGCTCCACATCAGCAAAAAGTGTTTTAAAAGGGACATAGGAACGGGTAAGGTATTGCACTACTAATTTGACTTGTCAGTCTTTCAGTAAAGAACTGGAGATCTCTTATAAAGTTTTATACTACAGAGCGGTTGAAACTTACTGGCAAAACTTCATTGGCCATGTCAAGTACTACAGCATTTGCATCAGCAAACGGCAATAAGCCTGCCAATGAACCTCTCCCTGCCATGCGAAAGCGCCCTGAATTGTACACCACTATCAGATCAACACCACCAGCTTCCTCAAACTTTGCAGATATGCCTGTCCCTGCACCAGCCCCTATAATTGGAATTCCTCTATTTATTTGATCTTTGAGTTGCTGCAACACCATCCTAGTTCTTTGTAGAGTTTCTGTCACAGAAGTAACGCGTTACTGGTTAGATCTGAATCCAATAATGACATAAAACAAATCTGCAGCTCTATTCATTGAGAAAAGTTGCTTTAATATTCAATAATTAAATCCTTCTCCAAATCATTCAATGTAATTGAATTCCTATTAATATGATTCTAATTTACTCTAAGAAAATGAATGAACACAGTTCAAACTACAACCTGGTCTTGCATCTGGGAAATCACTCAGGTTACGTGGAACGGTCTCGGAGCTTGACAAATTTATCTTCGAAACAGAACTTTCGTGAACTTGTTGGTTTGATTCATGAACTTGCGGTGGAGTAGACTGGATAGAACTCTTTGTACTAATCTCTAAAAATGAGTCAACCAATGCATTTGCAAACTCAGGATCATTTATATGATGAGGGTACACCCTTACCTATTAAAAACATGCACTATTTTCAATAGTAATGTTGGTCTTGGGCATGAAACCAAAGCAACTAGAGAAGGTTCGAGCATTGAAATAAATACACCATTGAATGGGAAATAATTGTACCTTCCGATCTTCATTTGTCTGGACCAGCCTCTGTAGTTCACTAATCAGAGAAGCAGTGACCTCCGGATCACGGAAAGGCTGCCCCAGTGCATCCAAAGCAGAGATACCCTTTTGCGGTAGGCAAACAACCACCTTTGATGATGATTTGTTCAACTTATCTGCTATAAAACCAGCAAATTTCTTGTTCTCATCTACAGTGGTTCTCATCAGTGAAACCTGAAAATGACGAGTATTGTTTCCATGTTATCCACACACAGACAACGCTTTTGAGCATCATATTATGTTTAGAGACTTATCAGTTATTACCTGCTTATTATGTTCATGAATCTTTCTGTGTTGAAAATTGGATGGTATGGTATCCTTAGCTCCAAAATTTACCATATCCAAAGCTCCAACACTCAGTACTAAAGGAATCCTTTTCTCTATGATGGCATCAAAGCGGGAAGCATCGCAAGCCATGACACCCCCTACCACATGGTCTGCAACCTCTGTTGTTGTGATATCCAAAACCCCCTAAGTAAAACAAGGAAACCTTCCAAATAAACAAAACTTACACAAAAAGACTAACGCAATACTAAGGTTAAATGAAATGAAATTACATAAAGGTTTGAACTTGGCACGTAGCAAACTGCAGCGGAAACAAAACAATGCATGTACCTGTCCGTAGTTAAATGAGATGAAATTGTATTATATTAATAAGAAAGAGTAGGCCTACGCTTCGAAATGAGCTCTGAAATACCTACATTTTTTTCAAGGATTTACATTAAAACTATGCGAAACAAATCATATCTCGAGCTTCAACAATCAAACAATCAAAATTCCCTTGTTCTGTAAATCGCTCTAGTTGATAAAAGCTGACCAAGTTCACATTTTTATATATCCATTCCGAAAATTCTACTCAAACAAATTGAAAAATCTTCAAATTTAACATACCAACACATACAAACGAATAAATTTCCAACAAAAGGTATTACCTTTATGAATCCATCTCTAACCAGAGACTCCATAGCTCTCCCTCCAACCCCAGTGGCATGAAAAACCAATGTCTCATACCCATGTTTCTCCAATCCCTCTTTAACCCCATTCACACATTGAGTCGTCACCCCAAACATGGTCAGCCCCACCGTCGGTTTCTCCACCCCTCCACCGCCACCACCTGAATCTCCGCCCCTCCCAACTCCCCCAACCACCATCCCACAGAACGCAGCAGCAGCATTGCTCAATACGACCCTGCTCACGCTATTAATCCCACAGACATCGACAATTGACGGGTACAACACCAGGTCCGAAGTCCCCACATAGTGATCGGTCCGCCCGCTCGCGACGGTCGATAAGATCAGCTTCGGTACTCCGATTGGCAGAGATCTTAGAGCGGAGGATATCAGTGCCGTGCCTCCGCTGCCTCCGAGACCTACAGCTCCGGCTAAAACGCCGTCGTTCTGAGCTTTGGATAGGAAGTTCTCGAGCGCTTTGCTCATTACAGCAACCGCTTCGCCTCTGTCCTCCGGAATCTGATCGGCTGATGCTTCAGAACTGTGACTGAGAATCTCCTTCCTCGAAACGAATTCGAAATCGGTTGGATTTGTATCGGTCTCGGTCCGACTCGCCGATACGTCCACCACCGATACTTTGACCTGCCGTTTCGGTATCGGACATTGAGATTCTGTATCGGATTTAAAAAATAAATAAATAAACGGCGAGAAGTAGAAGGATTTACCTTCAGTGAGGAAGCTGTGGAGAAGGCGTTGAGATGGGATCGGACCGACTCGGCGAGGAATCGTAGCTCGTCGAGCTTCGTATTGACGGTTCCGATACAGAAAACACGGGAGTTTTTATTACCGGCCGGCATTTCGAAGCGTCTGAGTTATGCAACTGAGTTGAGGATGACCAATGAGAACTTAGAATTTACTTGATCGGTGCTCTCAGAGACGGTTTCTGGAAGCAAATACTGAGCCAAAATGTAGCGCGTTCCGCGGTGGTTGGTAAATCTGCAATTCAAGCGAAGTTTGGATTAGGAGCCACGTCACCGCCACCAAATCTCATGTGGTGTGGTCTCTATCCGTGAGATTGACTCTAGACAACGAGGAATTTTTAGTTGTGACGGGAATATAAATGGTATATCATGTATTTTAATAGAAGCGGTGAAAATTTTTATTTTTTAAATTATTAACTTTTTAGCATACATATCCCATTATTTGTATAATAACACGTAATGTACCATCTCATATACCGATCACACTGGAAAATCTTTCCTTGACAACAGAGTTAAGAAGGTTCACGTGTCAATAACATTTTTAAAACAGATGTCAAAAATATAATATAAATATATAATAGTAATAAATGATGTATCATTTACTCTAATCGAGATATTAAAGATGACATAGAAAAGAAGGCTCAGCTAACAAAGACAAAAAGATGTCAAATTTGAAGCTGTCCTCAAATTTGATTTTTGCTATTTCCAAAGGCATTCCTCTTACCTTGCCTTAGACCAAACTCAACTATGGGCTAAATGCTATTTTTTAGGTTTTATTCCCAACCCAACCAATGCTAAATGTGTGAGCTAAAAGCTAAAATCTAAACAAAAGCCAGATTTAACCTAGAATTAGTGTGGCTGGCCGACCATATATATGTAATTTATTTAGTTTTATATTTATAAATTCATTAAATCTAACGGTTAAGATATAATTTGATGAAATTGAACGGTAAAAAAAAATTTTAACAATCCAAATTTAAATTTAACGGCTAAAGTAATTAAAAAAAATCGTTTATGTGTTTCAGATTTTTTTTTTTATAGTGTTTAACGAGTTTCATGGTGTCGGTTTGTGATTTTTCAATATTTGTCAGAATCTAAATATTTTTAGAGTTAAATGTTCATAAAATTAAATTAGGATAGTCTACATAATTTTTTTCTTTTAAAAAGTTACTTTAAGAAAACAAAAATTAGTCTAAATTCATTCTTTAATAATCTGATGCTAAATTTTTATGCCGTAATGATTGGAATTTTATGTTTTAGCTCAAGGATTGGAGATGGTCTTAGACCACACCCAATCCTAGGCTAAATGCTTTTTTTTTAGGTTTTACAAGTAATGGATCAATAGTTATCAGAGATACAAAAAAAAGACGGGTTTCTAAAAATACCGGAATCCTGCAGTATTCAGTTACCTCTTCCAGATTTTCCAAGCACACCAAATGAGTTACTCTCATCCAATAACACATGAAACTTATATTCTCCTTCAATTCAACTATCTTGTCTAAAGGGGCTATTTGGCCAGAATTCTGCAAATTTTATTAAAAGGAAACAAAATTCAAATAAAATCAACCTACATCTAATTGCATTCAGCTATTGAAGTTCTCAGCAAAACTGAAGACAATTTGTCAACATGCAAATGACAGCATTGAATGCTGAAAAGACAGTTTGTTTTTCTATTTGCCAGTGATTCACATAGAGATGGAAGTTTTCCTCAAAATGTAACTGACACCAAGACTTTAAGAAAAACCTTAAAAAATTGTGTCCACTGAAGTATGAGCAACCTATTTTGTGAAAGTGGATGATGCTGGATTGAATCATAAAACAGCTCACAACATATAAAAATGAATAAATAAAATTTGATATACGGGAAAGCAACATACAGGAAAATAACCAAAAATACCAACGAAAAAAAGGGAAAACAATATACAGGAAAATACATTATCTTGATAAGTAAGAAGCAGATTGGAACAAAGGAATTAGCAAAAAGCAAAAAAGCCCCAGCTCAAAACCCAATTTTTTTCTAAATCTACTCCTAGATATGAACATTTCAGCAAAACCTAAACCCTAGACAGGCACAAATATTCAACTCTTCATAGAAAATTTACAAAAATTTAAAGAATGACAACCCCAGCCAAAAAAAAAAATCCAAACATATCCAAAATTAGCAAGAGAAACACAAACCCAAAAGCAAATCAGCCTCTCACACTAAGCAAACACAGTAGCAGCCATGCACGCCCATGGCTCTTTCATCTTAGGAGGCCATGACTGACGACGGAATAACCAAAAATACCAAAGAAAGATCAGATTCCAAAAAAAACCCAAATCGAAATGAACCCTAGAAATTGAAATTCAGAATTGAAAATTCAAATTGGGAGAGCTCTGATATTTTACCTAAATAGCAACTTAGGAGTTGCCACTGCACCACTAATTCACAACTAAGCCGTAGCCATATCCATTCCTCAACAATCTTTGAATTTTAATTAAAACACAAAAAATATTAGAAAATGGTTAAAGATAAGTTATATAACCGCAGGCAAATCCATTCCCCAGCAATCTTTCAATTTTAATTATAAAAAAAAAATTGTCAATGATAGGTTACACACCTGACCCAGAAAGCGTTTGCAAACTCCAAAAACAAAACCCTAAAATTAGAAGATAAACGTTTCCTGCAACCAAAAATGAAATCAAACAAAAGATCCACACATAAATCAGCAAAAAATAAGGAAAGCATTTAGCAAGAATCAAATTTTACAACAATCAATTAAAAAAATCTCTCCAGATGAAATGTTCCATTTGTCCTAATAATATTAGGTTATATATATGTATGTAGCAATAAGATTAAAAAGTGAGAGAGAGAGAGAGACAAACCTTCATACGGAGGCTAGCGATCCGGAGCTCAAGAAATCTATGGAAGCAAATGAAAGAGCCCTGATTTTCCATATTTCTTCCGTTCCAAGATGAGAGAAATGGAATAGATGGAGTTGTGGCTGCTAGGGTTTGAGGAGGACAGAAACAGGAAGAGTGAGAGATGAGAGAGGGCTCGCATAGGAGAGAGAGGAAGAGTGAGAGATGAGAGCTGGTTGGGTTCAACTCTTGAGACTCGTGTCCCGTTAACTACAGGCCCCCATACTTTTCTCCGACTGTCCCCCATCTCCCACTCATGAAATCGAGGATCTGCAGCAATGGCGCTGAGATCCCCACTCCTCCATCTCCCTCTCTCTCTCGCTCTGTCTCTCTCTCTATCGAAGGCATGGCCTCCCATCCCCGAAACCCTCACTGAATGACAGCAAACCTAAACCCACCCCAATCCGTCTCAAACAAACAGGACAAAATTGCCCTTCCAACCCAGCCCCAATACCAGCCCAAACCTCACAGTTTTGTTCTAAATAACGTGAAATCGAGTGGCTCCCTAATAAGCCATATGGACAAAATTACCCTCTGAAATTTTGAGAATTACCCTCCCAACCCATGCAATTCGGCCGGTATTGTTGTAAATAGGGTGAAATCGAGTGGCAAAGAATGAGGCAGCTACAGTGTCGTCCCCCCTTCAATTTTAGAATAGATAATTCCTCCCCCCCCCCCAAAACCGACCCATGCTAAATGTATGAGCTAAAAGCTAAAATTCAAACAAAAGCCAAATCCCCCCCCCCCAGAATTTAGCCCAGAAAATGGTGCGGACACCATTAGCAGGACCCCACCCACATGGGCATAGGGGTGGATTTTTTTTGCCAAATTGTCATGCCAACCGAATTGCCAACCGTGCCATACCGATTTTGTGCCAAATTTTTTGTACCAATTGGTAATGGTACGGTATTGTACCGTACCGAAATTTCATGGTACGGTATTGGTAATGGATACCATTACCACGGTATTACCGTACCATACCAAAAATACAATATAATTTATAATTTATAATTTATATAATACATAATTATATAACACATATTTATAATATTCCAATAATTTGAAAATAAAACCCTACTTATATTAGCATTGTTGTTGGTGACTTTGATCTCTTAAAATTGTGGAAATCAAACACAAAAGAGTTCCTAATTCTTTTTCACAAATAGCCAAAATATCTCTTTGTAACCCCCACTTCTACTGTTGCTAGTGAAAATGCATTTAGTCTAGGGAGGAGGGTTGTGAACCCTTTTAGGGTATCCTTGACTCCTAAAATAATGGAGGCACTAGTGTGTACTAGTGGTTGGCTTAGGGCAGATGAAGTAAACTTCTACAAGGACCAACGGAAGATATGCTTCAATTTTACAAGGAAATAAAAGAAGAGAAAACAAGAAAGATATGCTTTAATTTTTTTAGTAAATTTGTTATTAAATGGTTTTCAACTTTAATTCTTCTTGCTACTAATTAATATGTTTTCTTTTGTTTGTAATGTAGGCTTGACACAAACTCAATCTTCTACAAGTTCAATGCCTTCTCCAAAAGCTTCGACATCTCAAGCTTGAATAACTGATCAATGAATTCTCTTTTTTGAAGTTTACTTCCAATTTTCATTTGGTTTGAAACTTTAATTTCTATTTGGATTGTTAACTTCTATTTGTTTTGGTTCGTAACTTCTATTTGGATTGTAAGCTTAATTTTCATGATGAATCTTGATGCTTCATTTGAATTATTATGTGTGTGAATTGTGAATGATGAATAATAGATGAATTTAATCTATAATGTATGAGATAAAGGTACAAAAAAAAAAGTTTTGCCCTTGAATTGGGTTAAAAAAATAAAAACATATTTTGTCCCAAAACAAAATGGCAATTACCATTGCTATACCATGCCAACCAAACTTTTGGCAATACCGAACTTTGCTATACCAAAAGTTTGGTACGGTAATGGTAATAGATTTTACCAAACCGAAAGTTTGGTACAGTAATTGGTACAAGGGTTTTGGTACAGTAACCGTACCGAACCCACCCCTACATGGGCATGTCTTCTATGATTTATTGAATTCAATGGTTGAGATCGAATATAATCAAATTTAATAGTAAAAAAAAAGATCTAACGTCCCAATTTTAAATCCAAAGGCTAAAATAATTTTTAAAAAAATATTTAACTCAGAATTCACCCAAATTTAGTGATTTTTCAATATTTATCGGAATTTAAATATTTTTATGTTAAAATGTTCATAAAATTAAATTATGATAGTGTAAATAATTTTTTTTAAATTACTTTAAAAGAAAAAATTAGACTAAATTTAGTCTTTAATAATCTCAGGCTAAAAAATTTAGACCAGAAG